TCCTGCCGGCGTGGCATGCTGGGAGTTGTAGTCCCAGGAGGGGGCGGCCATGTTCCTGGCGGGGGGATCTCAGGTTCCCCCTTGCTCGGGGGGCGACGGGAACATGGCCGCCCCCCCCGTCCTCCACAGAGGGAGACCCTCCCAAACCACCACCCTCTAGTCAAGGGGTGGCCATGAGCCCCCCAGGTGTGGGGACTCAGGGCAGGGACCCCTCTGGGCCACCCATGGATAGGGGGGACAGGAGCCACCGGGGTGTGGAGATGGGGGGCACTGCCAAACTGGGAGGAGGGAGTGTCTCCCCCCCCAGTATGGGACCCCCCCAGCCTCCCAGTAAGTCCCATGCTGGGCCCCCCAGGTGTGGGGGACTCAAGGCAGGGACACCCTTTAGGTCACCCATGGAGGGGGGGCAGGAGCCACCGGGGTGCCGAGGTGGGGGGCACTGCCAAACTGGGAGGAGGGGGTGTCTCCCCCCAAGTATGGGACCTCCTCAGCCCTCCCAGTAAGGCCATGCTGGGCCCCCCATTCCATTCTGGGGTCAGGATGTGTCCCCCTACATGGAGGGGTCCCCAGGTCATAGAATCATAGAATCATAGAATTGTCTGGGTTGGAAGGGACCTTAAAGATCATCTAGTCCAATCATCAACCTAACTCTGACAAAAAAAAAAATAAGAAATAAGCAATAAAAAAATCACTAATGGCCCATCCCCAAAAAAATCACATATTCCTGAGGACCATGTCTACCTGTCTTTTGAACACCTCCAGGGATGGTCCCTCAACCCCTTCCCTGGGCAGCCCATTCCAATGCTGGATAACCCTTTCTGTGAAGAAATCTTTCCTAATATCCAATCTAAACCTCCCCTGGTGCAACCTGAGGCCATTTCCCCTTGTCCTATCTCCTGTGACTTGGGAGATGAGACCGACCCCAGCTTCTCTACACCCCCCCTTCAGCTAGTTATAGAGAACGAGAAGGACTCCCCTCAACCTCCTCTTCTTCAGACTGAACACCCCCAGCTCCCTCAGCCTCTCCTCATAAGACTTACTCTCCAGACCCCTCGATGTCCCTGGACGTGTGGCCAGGATGGAGTCACCCTCCCACCCCTCGGCCCTTGGCTGGGGTGGGGGCTCCAGGGGGTGCCATCCCCTGTCCTCGCTCCACATGGTGTACCCCATCCCATGTCCCCTCTCCTGTCCCGGTCCCCCTCCCCTGTGCTGCACAGCACGGTGGCAGGAAGCCGTGGCGTCACACATGAGTCAAACCTGGGTGACAAGGGACTGGGACACCGCGGGGACAAGCGGCGCTTTGGAGACCAGGGGGACCTTGGGGACAAGGACCCCTCGGGGGGGACGTGGCCCCTCAGAGCAGGGTGGCCCTGGGATGTGGAGTCTTGGGGTCCTCATCCTTCTCCTGGGTGGTGAGTGAGGGGACAGGGCTGGCTGGGGGGGGACAGTGGCTGGGACCTTATGGCTGGGCTGTGGGGTTGGGGATGGGCCATTTGGGGGGCACAGGTGGCCCCTGAGTGATGGCCTGGGCAGGGGGGGCTGCTGGGGACATCCATCCTGAGGGGGAACTAGAGAGGGGACATGGCGACAGGATGGGGATGGGTGAGGAGACAGAGGTGGGTGACATGGCTGTGGCGGGGGTGACAGTGGGGACGGGTGGGGGTACATGGGGAAGGGGACAGGATGGGGTCAGACAGCGTGTGTGGGGCAGGATGGGGACAGAGATGGGGAGGCCAGGATGGGGCCAGGAAGGGGACAGAGAATGGGGGGGACAGGATGGGGACAGAGGTACGGGGACAGAGGTATGGGGACAGAAGTATGGGGACAGGAGGGGTACAGAGAAGAGGGGGACAGGATGGGGACAGAGGTATGGGGACAGGAAGGGGGGGGCATGATGGGGACAGAGGTATGGGGACAGAAAAAGCACAGAGAATGGGGGGACATGATG